TTTTTTTTTTCTTTCCAATGGGCAGGAGGAAAAATACATAAAATGAAATCCCATTCTTTCTTCTTTCCTCATTGTTACTTGACTCAACCTATTACACACATGAGGACACAAGAAATCTCTAAAGACCCTCTATGGAAATCCTTTTTGCACATTTCTAAGAAAGGATTAGTGAAAGTCATGTGGCTAGGTTTGGGATAGAGAGGAGGTGTGAGGGAGGATATGAATATGCCCTAAATCCAACTGTATGAGGCAACTTCTGGCAATCTAAATGAGGTGTGGGGAGGAGGGGATGGTTCTCTTTAATTCAGCTTCTAAAATCAATTAATTGAGAAATCACTTCTGTGAAGCCAGGATATGAGAAGGTATTGTAGTTCTCAGAAATTCTGCGACTGTCTAGGTTTTACGTTGTTTACTACAAAACATCTCAGATAAGTCTGGGTGTTCTCGGAGGCACTTGCTGGTGTGAGATTCAGAGGATTTGGCCAGGATAGCCAGGACACTAGATAGCATTCTGTGCCAGATCACTCAAAGCAGAGGAGAATGGTTAGCCTGGAAAAGACTTGGTGGTGGTGGGAGGGAGAGAAAGAGGAATCAGTTGCTTTTAAATATTTGAAAGGTTGTCATAAAAAAGAGGGATTAGACCTCTTTTGCTTGTCCCTGGAAGGCAAAACTAGCAATAATGGGTTAAGCAACAATTAAATTATTAAAAATAAACTTGAGACTTTTATCAGCTCAATAAACATATGAAAAAACTCCTTAAAAATTAGAGCTGTCCAAAAGCAAAAGTGAAATTGGTTGTGCCTCAGGAGGTAGTGAGGTCCCCATCACTGGAGTTTCTTAAGCAGAGGCCAGATGACAACTTGTCAGGAATTCTGCTTTAGGTAAGGGTAGCGCAGGGGATAGAGCTCAAAACCTAGAGTCAGGAAGACAAAAGTTCAAATCCTCCCTCAGACACTTACTAGCTGTATGACTCTGGGCAAGTCACTTAACCCTGTTGGCCTCAGTTTCCTCATCTGTAAAATGAGCTGGAGAAGGAAATGGCAAACTACTCTAGCATCTTTGCCAAGAAAGCCCCAAGTTGGGTCATGGAGAGTTGGATACAACTAAAAAATAACTAAGTAACACAATGAAGATTATTTCTAAGGTCCCTTATAACATTAAAATTCTATTGTCAAAGGGCTATCCATTGAATTATGTTGTCTCGATCTTCAGGTTCCTGCCAGTTTTGTACAATTAACCATTCTGGTTCTTTTGTTAAAGCAGACCTGGACACTTGGTGAATCCAGCAACAATTAATATAACCTTCAGGATATTCTTTTATCCTTTCCTAAGGATCTGATATCATAGAGTGAATGAACATTCACCTTTCTTAGCTGAAGGCCTAAAATTGTGAAGCTCCTGAATACTGCAGGTCTTGCTTAGACCAAACATGGAGGGAGAGATGGAAGAAAGGATATCCTAACTCATTCTCTTACTCTCTCTATGACTTGGTTTTTGCCAAGTTTTATGAACTGAAGATAGCCATGTTGTTATGAACTGAAGATAGCCATGTTGTTGTTGTTTTTAGTTGTGTTCAAATCTTTACGACCCCTTTTGGAGTTTTCTTGGCAGAGATACTGACATGGTTTGCCATTTCCTTCTCCAGCTCATTTTACAGATGAGGAAACTGAGGCCAACAGGGTGAAGTGACTTGCCCAGAGTCACACAACTAACAAGTGTCTGAGGCTGGATTTGAACTCAAGTCTTCTTGACTCCAGGTCCAGCACTCTATCCACCACACGACCTAGCCACCAGAAGATAGACACACAGATTCCCATTAGCCTAATTTTAAATCCTGGCCTGATTTTTAAAGAAAAGAGAACTTTGGATGGCAGACTAAGAAGTCTGGACTGTATTTAGTAAGCAGTAGTAAGTCACCATCAAGGTTTAGTTTGCAAAGTCCATGCAGAAAGAAGTTTTTATCCTTGACCAAAAGAAGGTGTCACCTAGGCAAATGTCAGCAATCATCGACGGAATCGCGCGGCTACATCAGTTGGCAGGAGAAAGACCCACCACTCAATGCAATCATAAAATCTCAGAAATTGAAAAGATCTTGGAGTTTGTCCAGTCTAATAACCACATTTCACAGATGGGGAAACTGAGGCCCAGAGATATGAAATAACTTGTACTGTTACCCAGCAAACTAGTGACAGAAATGGGAAGAGAACCCAGGTCTCCTGAGTCTCACCTATTGCTCAGGCTTACCACATAATTATACTATCCTAGTATATTAGCTGTTCTTTGGCTGTTAATGATGAATCTACACATGGCACTGACTCTTTAACCTACAGGATTCTAATTGTCCCCCCCCCCAAATCTAGGCCCCCTTTCCTCCAATCCATCATCCACACCACTGCCAGCTTAATTTTCCTTCGGCACAGCACTAACCATAACTGTTGTGCGAAAAACTCTTTAGTGGTAGCTTTTTTTGTTGTTTCCTAAACACAGTTCAAACTTTGTAGTCTGGCCTTCAAGGCTCTCCATAATGTGGAGCCTCCCAACCTTTCGAGCCTTATTTCATGAGGTTTTGACATACCACCCTTTACTCCCACCAAGCTGGCATAGGCTCAGTCCTTCATAAATGGCCACTGCCTTCTCACTTACACTATCAGAACCCTTCCCTGTACCTGGAATGTCCCATCCCATGCTCCCTTAGTTTAACAATCCTTACCCACCTTTGTGTCCAGCTCAAGCGGTAACTTCCGTAGGAAGTCTTCACTGAGTCCCTACTAACCTGAAATGTTCTTTCCTTCCTTTATCTTCAACTTTGAACCTTTCAATTCAATTTAATAAACACGTATAGAGGACCTAAAATGTGTGAGGCACTTAGTCAGGTGTTCAAGATACAAAGACTAAACCAAATCCCACAGAATCTGCCCTCAGGTACTTTATTCCAATTCAATCCAACAAGCATTGATTAAGTTCCTACTACATACCATAAACTATGCTAAGCATTGGGAATACCAAGACAAAAATTGACACAATTATCATATCCTCAAGGGGCATTCCACTGGGAGGACATGACAAGTACCCAGATAAGTCTGATAAAAGAGAGTATGTGATAGAGAGGAAATGAAGGAATGAATTCGAGAGATGGTGTGTAATCAGCAGGACATGATAACTGATGGGATATGAGGATGAGGGATCATGTGCTCGTAATTTTTAAGGTGTGAAGTTTCAAAGCTGGATAATTTTTAATGTGGGCAGCTGGTGGTGCAGTGCATGGAGCGCCGGGCCTGGAGTCAGGAAGACTCATTTTCCTGAGTTCAAATCTGACCTCAGATACTTGCTAGCTGCATGACCCTGGGAAAGTCACTTCACTTCATCCTGTTTGCCTCAGTTTCCCCCTCTGTAAAATGAGCTGGAGAAGGAAATGGCAAACCACTCCAGTATATCTGCCAAGAAAACCCCAAATGGGGTCGTGAAAGTTGAGCATGTCTGAAAAACAACTATAAAAACTTTAAATATACTACTACAGCATGATTCTAACTGTTCCCCTCTCTTCACTCGCCACACATAGAGAAGAAAGAAGAGGAGTCTAAGTTGATTCCAAGGTTTTGATCTTTGAGTGCCAAAAGCAAGTAAGCAGCTCCATTTTACCAAGCCCTGGAATGCCACCCACCCACCAGTCTTGTCACCCTCCCCTTCCTGAGCTCACCGCTGCACAGGGTGACTGCCTGCATCCATGTGATATGAAGACCCATGACGCACACAGTGCTGGAGATCAGGGAGTAACGGTAACGCACATTGGTCTCTGGGGATTCTGGAGTCTCTGTTTCTTCCCCCTCTCCACTCCTCCTCTTGAACATGGTACAATGAAAAGACCAATGGGTCTTGGTTCTGACAGGATTGCTACCAAGGTCATCAAGCAGCTAGTTAGTAATAGGGTGAGAACACAGATCTCCACCACGTCTGGTTAATGAACTTCCCTAAATACTTATGAAGTGGAGTAATTGAGGCAATGGGGAGAATAGAGTTCATTAAATGGGAACCAGGGGAGCTGTCCAGTTAAACCTCATGTGTAATCCGTATCTCTGAGCAAGTCACTTAGCCTTGCCTCATATGTAAAATGCAGACGTTGGATGAGATGACTGCTGATGTCCCTTTTAGCTTTAAATCTATGATCTCTAAACTGAATTGGTTTCAGGTGCAAGAACTCCCAATTGCTTAAGGCTCTGGGTCCATTGGGAAATTTTTCCTTATATCAAGCCCAAATTTGCCTCTTGCTGCTTCCATCCATTGCTCTGGCCCTCTGGGGCCACGCAGAATAAGTCTCAAGCTCAGACGACAGGGGGATCAATGAGAGTTAAAGTGATTAGGGAGGGCATGCTAAACCGTGGAAGCTTAGAACAACTAAGAAACTTAGAATAACTGAGCAAAAAAAAAAAAAAAAAGCAAAAAGGCACAGTCTCAGCAGACTACCTTAAATGAAGAGCCAGACACCTTAAGAGGGCCCCACTGTACTTGGTGACCTGCCCCTGTGTCAAGCAATATGTCGATAACAAAGCCAGGGTCTGAAAGGTTAGTATCTGGTAGCACAAACCAAATATTAAAAGGGAGGAGAAAAAATTGGCAAGTTCAAAATATTTAATGAAAGGAAAAATCTGGTCCCATCTCTGAGGTCTCTGAGTACTGAGTATGATCAAAGTTTCATAAAAAGGGGAGGGGATGAGTCAAGATGAAAACAAAGAGGAAACATAAGAGGTAGCAGGTTAAGTGGACTCTAAATAAAGGTTCGTACAGGGTTATTCCTACATATGATAAATTCCTCTATAGGTCTACTGGTATGATCCTGATTAAAGGAGAAATAAGTCAATGAGATGTAGATTAAAAAGATTTAGGCGATGTGTTTGTCATCAGAGGTTTAGAGGGAGTACATCCTCCAAGTACTTGAAGACCTTTTTAAGAAGTACCTAGATAGTGCAGTAGACAGAGAACTGAGCCAGGAATCAGGAAGATCTGAGTTCAAATCCAGCCTCAGACACTTCCTAGCTCTATCACTATGAGTAGGACACTTAACCTCTGTCTGCCTCAGTTTCTTCAACTACAAAATAAGGATAATAGTAACACCTACCTGGCAGGGTTGTTGTGATAATTAGATGAGATAATGATTATAAATTAAATGGAATAATAATTGTAAAAGTGCTTAGTACAGTGCTTACTTAGTATTTACTTACATAGTAGGTGTTTACTAAATGCTTATTTTCTTCCTTCCTTTCAAAATATAAGCCCACATGCTTAAAATCAAATTGACATAATTTCTGTTACCTCCTAAAAACAAACCCATCCAAGTACTTAAAGTTATTTTTTTCTTAAGGAGAGAAGGAACAAAAGGCTGGTTTTGATAATATGTTGTTGCAAACACCAATTTTGGCAAGAAATGTTTGCTGTGGAATCTACCTACAGAGATCACATTGACAGACTTCAAGGAATCATTGCCTTTTTTATCAGGATTCTCATTGGTTGAGAGGGTCAGTGGGCTAGAGAAACATAGAGAAAACTGGACATTTCTTACTCTCAAATGATCTGGTGGTTTTTGTTTCTTTGTTTGACTGCATCTGTGGTTTCACTGATATAGGGAAGTCCCAGTGTAGAAATTCCCTCTACCGATGCAGACTAGCACTGATTCTGCAGCGTATAGTCTCTGAGTGCTGGGATTCTATTCATGCTCATACGTACCTAGGATTAGAGGATCAGAGATTCAGAGCTAGGATGGACCTTAGGTCACTAAGTCCAACCCATTCATTTTATAGATGAGGAAATTGAGGCCCAGGGAGATTAATGACTTGTACCAGGTCACTTTACTAAGTGTCTGAGGCAGAATTCAAAACCAGGACTCTTTCTGACTCCAAGTAACAATAATGACAATGATGATAATAATAATAATAGTATCTTACATTTATATAGCACTTACTATGTGCTTGGCACTGTGTTATAAGCCCTTTACAATTATTTTCTCATTCGGTCCTCACAACAACCCTGGGAGGTAGGGGCTATTATTGTGCCCATTTTACAGAGGAGGAATCTGAGGCAGAGGTTAAAGTGACTTGCTCAGGGTCACATAGCTAGTGAGTGGCTGAGCATGGATTTGAACCCAGTACTGTCACACATAGCACATACTAGGCTTTTAGTAAATGCTTGTTTATTTATGGTGATTTCCCCAGGGTCACACAGACAGTATGTGTCAGAGGTAGGATGGAACGCAGGTCTTCCTAACTCCAAAGTTAGCTCTCTATCCCCTACCTCACACTGCCTTTCACCTTCATATATGGTTAAATGACAAAAACTCTCCTCCTGAGTTTGAGGAGCTTTATTTTGTCATATAAGAAATGAGTAGCTCAATTACCTAGTGCATCCTTTTTCTTTAACAAATGAGGAAATCAAGGCACAGAGAAAAAAATAACTTTTGTAATCACACAATTTGAACGCAGGTCTTCTGATTCCAAATCCATGCCCTTTCCACTGATTCAAATAACTAAAAAAAAGCATCTCTGAGATTATCTAGCCCAATTTCTTCAAGTGAAATGTATGTGGTGCATACAAGAAATTTATAGCGTATTACCAAGACGACTTGTACATGCCTTCCTGGCCATGCGTGACCAGAAAGGGAGGAGGCCAGGCATGTATGGAGAGCAAATGATAACAGAGAGTCCGAATGATGCACTAAAATCCATGAAACATTAGAAGAGCAAAACTCCAGCATGTTGTATAGATTCTCTATGGAAGCTGGGAATAAGAATCACTGAAGATGAAAATGTGTAGATCTGTGTTGGTGTTTTATCACTCATGGATCAACACCAGGAACCAAGTCTTCTCTAAACCTGGTATCACTCTCAGTACTCAGCTTATATGCTGAAGGTCACACAGGTAATAAGGGGCTGAGCTGGCACTCATGCCCTAGCCTTCTTACTCTTAATCTTTGTACTATAGCTCAGTGTCTCATATCACTTCGGCAGTGGAGGGCAGGAGGGAGAAGGGGCCTCCGTGATGGTATGGGCCAATGACTGCTTATTGCCTTGGGGATGGTGGAAGGGAGGGGAGGGAGAAAGAGAATTTGAAAATCAAAACTTAACAAAAACCAAGGAATGTTAAAAATTGTTTTTGCATGTAATTGGGGAAAAATAAAATCTTATTAAAATATATGACTCATTTATAAGCTAGTAGTACCATCTCACACCTTCTTTTTCTTCAATTTATTGTTCAATCATTCATAGTGTGTCAGTTAGTTTCCATGTGACTCCATGGACTTTCGTCCATGGGATTTTCTTGACAAAGATATTGGAGTGGTTTGCCGTTTCCTTCTCCAGTGTGGCCCCATTTTGCAGATGAGGAACTGAGGCAAATAGGGGTTAAGTGACTTGCCCAGGGTCACATAGCCAGTAAATGTCTGAGGTCAGATTTGAATTCATGAAAATGAGTCTTCCTGACTCCAAGCCCGGTGCTCTACCCACTGCACCTCACTGTGACTCCATTTCCTTCTCCATTGACAACATAAGGATAGTGGTATCACTATTTTTGTACTTTATAGAATTGTGAGGATAAAATAAAATTGCAGAACATCTGTAGTATGGTATAGTAGGGAAAAAAATCCATCTGTATTTGGAGGCAAAAAGCCCAGAACTTGATGGGAGAACATTATACACAATAACAGCCACATTATGCGATGACTAACATTGATAGACTTAACCCTTCTCACCAATACAAAGATCTAAGACATCTCCAAAGGCCTCATGATGGAAAATGCTATCCACATCCAAAGAAAGAACTATGGAGTTTGAATGCAGATGGAAGCATACTATTTGCTATTTTTTTTTCTTCTGTTGTATTTTGTTTCCTCCTTCTGGTGGTTCCTCCTATTGGTTCTAATTCTTCCTTACAATATCACTAATGTGAAAATATGTTTAATGGGAATGTAAATGTATAGCCTATATCAGATTGGGTGCCATCTTGGGGAAGATGGTAGGGAAGAAGGGGGAGAAAAATTTTAAACTCAAAAGCATATGGAAGTGATTATTGATAAATCAAAATAAATTAATTAAAACATTTAAAAAAAAAGAAATTGTCTACTGATAGACTGACAAAAGAATTGGGTTCATTGCTCTGCAACTTAGTGATCTTTGTCACCTTGAGTAAAATCTTAAGGAATGTGGATCTCAGTTGTCAAATCTGTAAAATGAAGTGATTGGATTAGACAGAATCAAAGGCCCCTTTTCTCAATCTATGATCTTATGTGAAGCTCCAATTTCTTCATTTTATAGATGAGGAAACTGAGGCACGCTGAAGTGAAGGGAAAGCTGGGACAACTAGGTAGCACAGTGGATAGGGCACTGGGAATGGAATCAGGAAGACTCATCTTCCTGAGTTCAAATTTGACCTCAGACACTTCCTTACTAGCTGTGTGACGCTGGGTAAGTCATTTAATCACTGTTTGCCTCAGTTTCCTTATCTGCAAAATGGGCTGGAGAAGGAAATGAAAAACCACTCCATTATTTTTGCTAAGAAAATCTCAAAACGGGGACGAGAATGAAACAAATGAATAACAAATGAAGGAACTTTCCCTATGTCCCACAACAAGATTTGAACTCATATCCTTTGACTCCATATACAGAGATTTTGCTGCTGTCATAGTTTTATAGAATAATTCATCGTTTCATGCATTATTTTAATAAAAAATGTTAAGTAAAACAATCCATAAACCACAAGGCAACTGTTATCTACTATTTGCATTTAAAAATATGGTTACCAAAAAATTTTTTTAAAAATAAAAAAAAAATAGGGTTACTAACATTCTTATTTGAGG